TATGACATAACAATTTTTTCCTTCTATCTGAACTAGTGAAGTGAGACGCAAATCAGTGAAAAATCGGCTGCCTCCGTTTACAAAACAAAAACACTTTTGTGATAGTATCAAATAGAAAAATTATTTATACCTTTCATACTGCAAAACCGGGAAATTTAAGTCTATCGCCGGAACGGCATAAAAACATGCTAAAACCGGACTGTCCCGGTTGAACCGGGACGTATGGTAAGCCTACTTATTGAGTACTGATTAGAATAACGCAGAGCAAATGAGGGATAGAAATGCTACACGATATTTAACGTTGTTTTTTAACCTATATCGATCTACAGCCAAATCACTCTTTTTATGTTGTTATGTTATGTGTCACAGTTGGCAGTTTCCACCTCGGCGCTTGATTGCTAATGGTGATTGAACAGATATTTTGTTTCGATCATATAGGCCTACGCCCAATAGATGGATGAATATTTTTATTGCCTTTGTGTAATAGTGTGTCTTTCCTGAATAGAAGTTTCTTTTTCAATTTCTCATTTCATCTCGGGAACATGGGTTCTGTTATTCCTTTTCACTTCATCACAACTCGAAAGGTTTACGCCGCTATCTCTAATTTTAGATTTTGTGGGAGACGCTCTCATACCGAGAAAAACTTCCGGAAATACAAGTAGCACATGGCAATCATGCCGATGTGGAAAACTAAATCAATAAGGGGCTATGTTTAGAAACACGTTGCGAGTATGAAAAAACATTTTGCAGACGAAAGTGAAGGATGTATTGTTTTGCAGAAACCTAACGGAAGATATTGAGATAAAATACGTATTATTCTGCTTAAATTAAACGCTTGTTTTCATGCCCCAAAAGCTACGCCTATGCATTATTAATACGAAATCCGGCACTCCTGTAGTATGTGAACCAAGATGGCCATAATTTCAGGTACGAATACTACGGGAGTCACTTGGCTATTCCCCGAACTTGCAATAGAACTAAAACAGAGAAAATTATGTCCTAACCGTAACCTGGTACACACACCACGTTCCGGTGTCCGCCATCTTGATGCACACAGTACGCATTTTAAAGTATATCACAATTCAAACAGTCTTTTCTCGATGATTCTAGAGAAATTTCTGTAAAACAGGAGTGATTCATCATATCATATATATATGAGAATTAATCATTTTTGCATACGGCTATGTATGGAAATATTATTTTAGAATGTTCTAGAATAATCTACAATATTTTATGACGTTGAAACTATTTTTAGATTTGATGTCAATATTTCCAAAATTATTAGTAAATTTGTTACACATTCCGGAGACCATATGCGAAATATTTAAAGAGGACATACTAAATTAACCGATAATTGTATAAGTCTTAAAATTCGTTGCAATATAGTGATGAAATTGAAATTAAAAACTCAATAATGCACGAATATTCAAATTTAAAATCTCGAAAAATTGATAACGATAAAATTGAAATGTAAATATAAGTTGTTTGGAAACTACCTGATAAAATAATAATAATCAATGATATAAGGCCCAAAAGATAAAATAACGGAACAAATTCCATAATTTATGTCACTTAAACAGCAATTGATAGGTTTATATACAAGAAAATAAAACAATAAAACGTTACTTGCACACTATTTGTATTAAATTGAAAACAAAATCAAGCTTGGGATTGAAAATTGATAAAGACACGACAAGAGGTTGCAATTTAGCTACACATAATTTTGTTTATATAATTTACTTCAAGTAATTTATTTCTGGGATGTAAAAATGTGTTGAACAGTAAGAGTAATGTATTTCTTCCTCTCACTCACACGACTTCAAATTTGTTTGTGAGTTGTACGATTATATCAATTTAGGCATTACTGAAATCTATAAAAAATGATAAAATTACTTCTGAACGAATTTTTCAATATATTTATATGACAACTGTTTATAGCTCTTTGCGTTATCATTGATAATGCCTGGTAAAACCTCGGGTTCTAATATTTCAGTGATTGTAATAAGGGGGATTGTGAGAAAAATTTGTTCATAATAACCGGACTGTATTTTAAAAAACAAATAGGATGGACAATAAGATGTTGGGGAATGGGCACTACAATAAAATTGGCAAGAAATAAGACACTATAAATTGGGCGAAAGAGAGGCGAGAATATATAAGACACTGAAAATTGGGCGAACAAAAAAAAGTAGAGAAAAAGGCGAGAATGAGACAATAAAATGATGGGAAATCGATACTGCAATATTTTCTTGATTACGTATGACACAATGAACCGACGAGAAAATAAATCGATACACTGGCGAAAAATAGACGGTAAATTGACGAAAAATTGACACTGCATTTGACGGAAATTGGGCACTTCAATATTTATGACGTTGGAAGTATTTTTAGATTTGATGTCATTATTTCCAAAAATTATTGGTTAATTTGTTACACAAGTTACAATGTACATTTTTTGATAATTTAACAAACAGTACTAAAGTAATGTTTTATGATTTATGCACAAATCATTCCATTACAAATTTGGTGAGGTCGCCGGCATCTTTACATTCGGAGAGAACAAGAGGAACCGTGTTCCATCCATATTCCATCGATGCCAATCTGTTTGTAGCAAGCACTATGCTTTCTACAGTTGGGTGTTGATAAGGAGTTGATAACCAGACGACTTTATCGTTGTGTTCTCCACATCTTAAAAAAATGAGATGATTTTCATAGTCGGTGAAGACAGCATGATCTTCATGGGTTGCCATTTTACTGTAATATTTGGGCATATTTTCAGCATTCGTTGTGGAATCTTTCACGTCCTTTGCCAATTCGGAATCCCAGTTATTGAAAACTCGATAAAGACCTTCACTATTCCATTGTAAGTAGGTTGGTATTATTCCGTACGTTTTATATTCTAAATGATAATCGATGGCCAATATGATACCCCCCTCTTTCATTGATCTTAATTCATTGATTCCATAACATCCAGGAAGAATGTTATTTGCTGATTTAACTGTTCCAAACCAACGACCATTTAAGCGATTCCAGTCTATCTCGTGGTCAGATTTTACCAGGTTACAATCGCTGAGACCCGCTGGCACAGAAGTTATGGAAGTTACTTTTTATGGAATAGTGAAAGTCATAACTATATTTTCAGTAACTGGGTTTCCGAATTGAGAAAAGACGTGGAAGATTGCACAACGAATGCTGAAAATGTGTCTAAATATTGAAGTAAAATGTCAACGTATAAAGATCATACTGTCTTCACCGACAACGAAAATTTCATCTCTTTTTAGGGTGTGGGCCACACAACTAAAAAGCTGTATGGTTATCGGCTTCTGATCAAAATCTAACTGTAGCAAGCATACTGTTTACTACAAAAAGTTTGGCATCGATGAAATTTGGGTGAAACTCGGTTCCCCTCGTTCTGTCAGAATGTAAAGATGCAAGTAAATGTTAATAGGATACTTACTTATATGAGGTGATTGCTGGTGTGGATGCGTGGGAAGTAAGATGCCTCTTAATTGGGCTTACCATACGTCCCGCTTTAGGCGGGACAGTCCCGCTTTTTAGCTCCTTGTCCCGCCGTCCCGACAAGTCAGCCAAAAGTCCCGCTTTGGCTTTCAGCCATCCAGCATATTATACGAACATTACTAATTAACATGTTCTCGTTACTGTTGAATGAGTTCTGTTTGTTTCGTTGTTTTCCGTAAGATATTTACAATAGCCTACAACTGTATGGTCAGAGGAAGGTGTTGGTTTGAATTGCTGCTCATTAAATATTCACTTATGCCAAGAAAACGAACAGACTACTTATATATATATATATATATTATATAGATAAAGAAATAGTCAAATCAAACAGTCCTAGCACAACTAATTAGCTTCATGAAACAGATATGAACACAGACTAAAGTTCGTAACAGTAAATCACAACAAGGGGAAATCAAGTAATAAACTAATTATAGCGATGTTAGTGTACTATCTATGAATAGGCATATATATATATACTAAAAGTAAATAGTACCAAGGTAAATCGATTCAAGTTTAAACAGAGAATAAATTCCTGAAATATATCCTAGTTACTTATAGTAAAGATAAACACTTCACTTATAACGTTTAAGATTGGGGGGTCGCAACCTGAAACTCGACTATTAAAAAGATCTATAGGTCACGTCGTGTTCAATTAGGATCCACACGTCAAGGGTCGTGGCAGAAATTGTCAGTTGCAGTTACAGAGATCTAGATCAATATAGAATAAACAAAATACTTTAAATGTCATGAAACATTTACATCCACTCATTCGCTTTGCTACGTTTTTCTCATTCGCATTCATTGGGTGACTTGATTTTTGAACAAAGAGGAAAGCAATGTTTGACTCGAAATATGTATTCGCCTTTGTGTTATTCTTCCCAGCGAGCATGAATTCTGCCCGATTGTAACCTGGTAAAATCTGACCATGAGATAGACTGGAATCGCTTGAATGGTCGTTGGTTTAAAACAGTTAAATCCGTAAGCATCATTCTTCCTGGATGTTATGGAATCAGTGGATTAAGATCAATGAAAGACGGGGGTATCATGTTGGACATCGATTATCATTTAGAAAATAAAACGTATGGAGTTATACCAACCTACTTGCAGAGGAATAGTGAAGGTTATTATCGAGTTTTCAATAACTGAGATTCCGAATTGGCAAAGGACGTGAAAGATTCCACAACGAATGCTGAAAATATGCCCAAATATTACAGTAAAATGGCAACCCACGAAGATCATGCTGTCTTCACCGACTACGAAAATTATCTC